AAAAGCATTGGGACATTACTATTGGCTATTTCAATTTGCAATAGCCAATAGTAAACTAGCATTGTTCCCGCCCTCTGCTGATGGACCTGATGGGGAACTGCAGCAGAGGGCGGGTACAATGCTAGTTTACTATTGGCTATTGCAAATTGAAATAGCCAATAGTAATGTCCCAATGCTTTTCAATGGGAAAATTTCTTTTTGTTTTCTATTCTGACATCGATCGTGTCAGAATAAAGAAAAAAAAAGGACACAGCAGTGTTTCTCTCCTGGGCGGCCGGGAGCGGGAGGCTCCCGGGGCGCCAGGGAGAGTTAGCTGTTTGGAGATCAATGTCCCTGGTTAGCAGTAGTAGGGACGCTGATCTCACTGCAAGTGGCCGGAGCCACCCGTAAGATCACGGCTGGCTCGGCCCAGCTGTTAGAAGCAGGCTGCTCGGCCAGCTTTGGCTTTCAGCACGGCTCAGCCGAGCCGATGCATATGCGTTCGGCTCGGCTGAGCCGCTCGGCCATGATCGGGAGCTGTACGGGCTATTGTGAATAGCCTGTACAGCACCCCTTCGGTTCTACTGAACCGAAGGGGTCCTGGGGCCAAAGCTAGCCGAAGGATCGGCCGAAGCTACGGCCAGATCCTTCGGCAGCTTCGTGAATAGACCCCCATGTTATACAAATAGGTGGTGCCTGAAACAGTGAGAAGGCTTTTCTATAGGACTGACCACACACAGACACATTAGTGTATCAGTAGTGTCATTGTACTTAGTAGCTATAGATCAATTTAATTGATGTAATCATCCCAGATAAATAGTTATTTCACTGATTTTGTTTACACTTTTAAGAAGAGTAAATGGTGACTGTAGGATTGATCTATAGTTAAATTTGAATTTACATTTTAGGTTAAAATTAGGTAGACCTCAGGAATTAAATCTTAAAAATGCATTCAAGTACCTTACCTGTTCCCTATGGTCCCTGTGTGTGTTGTAAAGTAGCCCCTACTCCAAGCTCACTCCCATGATGTGACAATGTCTGGGAATCCATGCCAGATTTTCTCTTTGGTCCCTGATGCTTGGCTGTCAGCCTATGGAGTTCCACAGGGCTGCAGCCAATCTGCACACCTCCTCCCCTATTTATCATTATCTCACTTGTTGCTCTTGGTTCGATTAACAAGTCGTATCCCTTGTGCCGGACCCCCTGTGATCTCTTGTGTACCTTTCTGGATCCCTACTTTTGCTAGCTCTCCTGTGCCTCTGATTTCCTGTGTTTTTGTACCTACTTGGATTCTTGCGTTGGCTTTGTTCCCATTGCTTTCCTGTATTCTTGTGCGCTCTGTTTCTCAAGCTTACATTGTGAACTCTCAGTTGGCTATTCCCAGTTGCTGGTGTTCTCTCAGTCGGCTTTTCTCCCTTGACCGTTCCTTGTGTCCTAGTTGTGGTAGTTTCCTGTTAGTTCCTGTGTGTTGGCCTTCCTACCTTGCTTGTACATTTGGCACTCTCTTCCCTGTGTTCATTACCTGTCTCGCTGTGTCCCTCTTCTACGCACTTCCCCTATGCATTCCTTGTGCATGATTTCCTGTGCATCCGTAGCTGTGCTACACACATCTCCCATTGCACGGCTTCCAGTTAATTCCTATAGGAGTCTGCTTCTGTTCTGCTCTCTCCCCTGTGCATTTAACCCTGTGTGCCTGTGTTATACACTCTCCCTTGTGTACGCTCTCTGTTTCAGAGCTCCTATATTAGGCACCATCCGACTTAGCTCCCTCATGCTCCCAGTGAGACCTTGTATATTCAGCTAGTGGATGGTTATCATCTCCTCAGTGAGCTCTTGCACCTGCGCTTACCTTTGAATCTGTCTTCCTCCTGTGTGGCTGCTTGTCCTATGCAGCCTCACTCCTCTGGATAGCCTTGTTGTGCTGCCTCGCTGTGGGTCCCTTGTGTCCCTTCTCACTTTTGTTTGTACTCCTTCCCCTGTGCCTCTTTTTACCCTGTACTGCAGCCTTTCTACATGCTTCTTCCCTGTCTGCCCCTGTGTCCAGTGCCCCGGTGCTGCAACTAGCCCTCTGAGTCTGTGCGGGTGCGCTAGGGGGCCACAACCTGGAAGGTGTCAGGCAGCCAACCATCCTCACCATTAGAGGCTCTGTGGAAGACCCACCCCTTCTTAGATTCTGTGCCTCTAGTGCATCCCCAACAACGCACAGACTCTTAGTCCCTAAGTTTCCTGTGACCAGCATCACTTCAGCCTGAGACTATAAACCGCTCCATAACACCCAGAGCTCACGTGCCCCAGTGCCACGGTCCCCAGATTGTGACATATGATGAACTTCCAACTCAGTACAAATTGTAAACTAAACATGAGATTTTAGTCCATCACGTGGGGTGAACATGGAGTGGTGACTTCTATACAACACACACAGGGACCATGGGGAACAAAAGTACCCACCCTCCAGAATGAAGGACAGTGTCAGCAGCAACTCAGAGATGATTTGAGGAGCTACAGCTGCGTGATACACAAATAAGATACATTTCTGTCAATAGTAAGGGTACTTGAATGTATTTTTAGGATTTAATTCCTGAGTTTAGTGTCACTTCAACCTTGTTTTATTATATGATTCAGATATATAACTGAAAGTAGTAAATGGATATATATAAAATATGTGGCATAAATGCTAACAACTTAACAAAATGATGAATACTTTGGTTTCCTTGTGGCTTTCGTACTTTGTTTTTAATATAATCTGAAAAAAATTGTTTGGAGATACCTTATTGGGTTTCAGTCAAAGTCAAGACCCAATCATTGAAAATTGTAGGCATCTTATGCATGAAGAACATAAATGGCCTGAAAAGTATACATTCAGCACTGAGAATACAATTTTTACAAAGTACTAACTGCAGTTATTTGGATGTATAAATTTGGTTTCATATTAGTTTTTTTTGAAATATTACATATTTCTGATTTGCCAATAGATGAATTTAGTGCTTACATTTTGAAAAATATAATAGTAACTTACTCTTAATAGAAAAAGTAAAACTTTCTGTAAAAACTAAACCTTCTGTGTGTGTTGTCTGAAACAGTAAAGTTTCACTGTTGATGACATCATTGGCATGTGGCCAGCTTGTACACACTGGAAGCGAAGATGAGCTATATTTTGATGTGGGCTCTACAGGGCAGACTGTGCAATTGAAGTGGCAGCTTTCACCTTCTAGTGGCTCACAAGGTATTTAAACCCTTGCTCCAACACTAAGTGACCTCAAAAAGGGAAAAAGAGCA